TATTTTTTTAATTCTCTTTAAAATAATGTGCCGATTGATATGGGTTGCCATTTAAAAAATTTCAACCCTGTTTGCGGGTGGGGGGTGAATTTCAAAATATCACCAAAAACAACCTTACATTACCTAGAAACGTGTATTGAAGCTTGTTTGAATTTTATTTGTGCTGAGACCATTCATTATTTAGCATGTTAGCCCATTGTTCTTTATTTTTACCATTAGCTAGGATTTTTTTCCAATCCCGTGGGATCTTGATTTTGGACATCTCATTAAGAACGTTTCTCCATATCCTCTTCTCTCTTTCAATGTTTTAATAGTTACATCTAAATAGGTATCCACAATAAAGTATACCCTGCTGAGTTTCGGAAAACTGCTGAAGGCAATCTGTGCTAGTTCACCAGAGGTTTCTGGAATATTAGTAAGAACCGAAAAGTAAGCCATACCGTCAATTACATACATACATTATTCAATCTTGAGAGGTTCGTCTATACCCTTGTTCTCCAAAGCATGGAGCAGTTTGGCCTTTTCTGTTTTGGTTGGGCATCCATCGACAGTGGCTGATGCCCATGGTACTGGATCTAATGGGTATGTCATCAGCTTCTCAAGGTTAATATCACGTTCTTGGGACAGCAGTAAAACTCCAGAAAAATATTTTTTATTGCTCATATCTCAACTAATCTGTTTGCATGCAGCTTTCCCTAGATTATCTACATTGAGTAAATTGTCTTCCACCGATTCGGGTACAGGTCCTCCAGCTGATAAACAGACCATCTAGGAATTCTGATCACAGTTTTCAACTTCAAGCAGAATAATGCATTGTTCAAAAGCATCAAGTACAGTACTTGCAAAATACTTTGCTCACTTCGTTTCATTTCATTTGCTTGCATGCCACTGAAAACAATCTGATGACTTCACCATACTTGCATTTTTAAGATTTAACTTGCTGTGGGCCCGTCCTACGCACAGGAATCAACTAATCTAATCAAAACAAACTAAAAAATCTATACTAAACGACCCATGCTGCACTGCGGCGTTAAAATAAATATCATATCCGAGAAATAATCAAATTGATTATTTTTGATTGTGTAATACAGTTTCTTAAACTTAACCGATTCAAACAATCAAACGATCAATAGCTCAAATTAAAGCCTATAATTGACTGATTATTTTGAAACTAAAACATATAAAAAAAAAATTAAACAATACTGAAGCTATTGATATTCAATCATAGAAAAACCTTATAATTTTTTTTTTATGTTGGATGTTCACCTTGCGTTTGCTTGAAAACCGTCCGATTTGAATAACTAATATCTTAAATGCAAGCCGGTATTTCACTGAAGGTTCTTAGACAAAAATATATAGGGTTATATAATTACAAATGGTAAAATACTGTACAATTTAAATTGAACTACGAATTAAAAAATATATCAAACCTATGTTTTTTGGTCGAGTAATAAAGTAGATAAATATACGATGATGCTTGATGTGAAATATATGTAGGCATACTACCAATTTAAGACCTCAATCATGAAGATCGGACGTGTAGAAGAGCCAAAGAAACTCGGAAAAGAAAAAAAACAAATTTAACTCCCTTTAGAAATACATGGGGGGTAAATTTAATTTACATATAAGCCGAGTGGGACTGTTGATAAATATATACTGATGCTTGATGTGAAATCTGTGCGTGCATACCTTCAATTTGAGACCTCGATGACGAAAATCGGGTGGGTAGAAGAGCCAAACGAACTCGGAAAAGAAAAACCAAATTTAACTCCCATAAGAAATACACGGGAAAAAATTTTGTTTACGTATAAGCCGAGTGGGACTGTAAGCAACTATATGCCGATGCTTGATGTGAAATCTGTGCGTTAATACCTTCAATTTGAGACCTCAATCATGAAAATCGGTCGGGTTGTAGAGCCAAACGAACTCACTAAAAAAAACCATTTTTTTTAAATATATATTCATGATATTTTCGTGTTTTCCGGAACATGCTGTAATTCACAAGTGGCAAACACCTAAAACCTTAAAGTACATGTCAATACAAACCAAAAAATGTATATGTCGAAAATTCCCACGGGGGGGGGAGGGGGGGTAAACGCCAGCCTCCGCTCTATTACCTTTGGGTTGTGATTGAGGATTAAATGTACAAATTTTATTCACGTACTTTAAAGTGTTATGGGTAAGAAAACAAGTTCTACCCATCGGTGAATAAATATTTGTTACTGATGTAAACTGATCATACTCGTATATAAATGAAGCCAAATAAAAAAAAAAATCATATTAATAGTTTTATCATGAGTACTTAAAAATTCACTAATTTACTGATCTATAAAATCTTTCAAGAATGTTTTATTCCCGTTCAATTCATAGCAATCAAATGCATACATATTCAAGGTGCTTTAGAAAGTTGTGTTCCTACTATTTAAGTTGCTAAACCTAGTGTTAACTAAGAGATACATTTAAAATCGAAAGTTTTATTCAAGCTCATATTAATTAAGATAAATCAGTGCTACTAAAATTGTCAACTATTTGCTTTTTAAATTGTGTTATCATATTCACAAATCTTTTCACAAGTTAAATTCACATCAAAATTTTAAATTTATCCAATAGGGTTTACGCAGTGCACGCACTGGGACTACAAACGAAATTTCCCTGTAGTGTAAATGTAGTATAATTTAAAATGCACTACAAATCATATGTAAATATTTGTCTGTTAATTATCACATTTTCTGTTCTAAAATTCTACTTTTAATCCATTTACGTTCGAATCAGTTCCATTTGACATATTTCGCTTTATTCTTATTGAAGTGTTAATTCAAAAGATACATTTAGAATCGAAAGTTTTACTCAAGCTCATATTAATTCAGATAAATCAGTGCTACTAAAATTGTCAACTATGTACATCGTTTTTTAAATTGTGTGCGTACCACAAACAAAATGTGTAAGGCTATCATATTCACAAATCTTTTTACAAGTTTAATTCACATCAAAATATAAAATTTATCCAATAGGGTTTACGCAGTGCATGCACTGGGACTACAAACGAAATTTCCCTGTAGTGTAAATGTAGTATAATTTAAAATGCACTACAAATCATATATAAATATTTGTCTGTTAATTATCACATTTTCTGTTTAAAAATTCTACTTTTAATCCTTTACGTTCGAATCAGTTCCATTTGACATATTTCGTTTTGATTCTGATTGACGTAAGTTTGAATTATTTCACTTCTGATCAGCTCACCTCCACTGAAAAATACCTTTTAAATGTTAAAAATCAAACCTAATTAATTTAAATCATATAAGATTATTTTGAGCCATATAGATTATGGCTCAAAATAATCTTATATGATGACATAATCTATTTAAGCTTGACTTTGGTAACCTTTGTCGTTACACACTTGCTCGGGCGATAAGTAACAACTACTACAGCAATCTGGTGGCAACAATGACACTAATAGCCTACTTATACATCACCTGTAACACATGACTGTGCTCGAGTATTCATAACAGTTGGATAACGATCTAATGTCAAAACCTAGTCAGCAATAATTCCTACGCATTGTGGTTGGTTCAGCGACTAATCTTTCGTTTGGCAAATACCTACGCGCGCCGCAGAAAACCTGCAGACTAAGCAAATTTCAATTCGATAGGATTTTGAGTCAAATATTTTCATAAACAAGTCATACTTATTCCATATTTGAGTAACATTAGATTTGACAAGTACTTTGATTTGCTGCTAAGTGGAATGGAACAGTGTTTGGGAGTAGTTTTATTTGAAGAGGATGAAGTAAATAAATTTGATTAAAATATAAATAATCAAACTACACCAGTTATCTTTTTCTCCATTAAAATAACATGGGAATTGTCCCATAATAGTTATGGTATTTATTTAGCCTACATAGCCAGAACATTGAACTAACAATTTAATATGAAACAACTAAAGCACCCATGACATTTAAAAATAAATAAATAACATTTTTATTCGAACCATTAATCTGATTACCGAGTGTTAGAAGTACTCTATGTATACTATCAACTGCCTGCCATTTGAGGATAAAATCATATGTTATTAATTGTTTTTTTTTTTTTTATTTACTTTACAATCTGTTCTATTATATATTGAACAATAAGTAAATACTATGTAATACGAAAAATTGACTTTGGAACATTAAAAATAGCTGTTAAGCACTCTCAACAACAAATTTTTCAATAAAAACACTTTACAAAAATCTGTAGGGCAGGTCGAGAATTGATGGCCTCTTAAGTCTGTAAATTGTATCCACGTTGTTTAATAAGTTAAGAGCTAAATGATTTTGATGAGATTCCAATTTCGTAATATATCGTTCACTTATGGTCATGATTTCGTCCTTAACTGTAGGCATCTTAAGGTCTTGATGTAGTGTCCTATTGCTGACATACCATGGTGCATTTGTTATCTTCCTCAGCATTGTCGATTGGTATCTTTCGAGAATTTCTATATTAGAAGTATTTGCTGAGCCCCATAGTTGCACTCCATATGTCCAGATTGGTTTCAATATAGTTTTATATAGCAATAATTTATTTTCTAGACTAAGTTTTGATTTTCTTCCGATGAGCCAATTTAACTGATTAGATTTTAAATTTAGTTGTTGCCGTTTTCTCCAAATGTGTGTTTTCCAAGTTAACTTCCTATCTAAATGGATACCTAAGTATTTATGATCTATTTACTTTTTTGTTTACTTTTTATCAGTTTTGTTCTCATCCATGTTAATAAACCATCAATTGTTTTTCATCTCTTTTATTTTGTAAAAACTAATCACTCATACTATCTATCATTAACATTATTGGTCCTAAATCGAGCCGGAACAGCAACATATCAAAACACTTGTATCTATATCACTGAAATTTTATTCATCAAAATTTATTTTATGTCTACCAAAATTTGAAAATTCATTATCATTATGGCATCACTGGAATCAAAAATAAAACTCCAAAAATCAAGATTACAACACCTGGAAAATGCTTCAGCCTTTTTCAAAAAACAAAGATACATCTACTATAACTAAGGCTCAACTACAAACAAGACTTGAAGTTTTGGAAGCAGACTGGAAAAAGTTTGACAAAGATCACGAAAGGATCTGTGAGTCAAAGACCGAATTGCTAGAAAATCTCGACTATCTAAATGAAGACCACTACAGCCGCGGAAAAGAAGCTTACCTCATCAACAAATCGGAAATGATGGACCTCCTTGACTTAGTCTCAACGTCATCTCTCCAAAATGCAAGTATTACAAAAAGTAGTAAATCCAACTCTTTTCTCAGACCAAAATTGCCTCAAATATCTTTGCCACAGTTTGCAGGAGATTATCAATCCTGGAAACCGTTTAGCGATCTTTTCGATTCTTTAGTAATTTATAATCCTGATTTAACTGATGTAACAAGATTACATTACCTCAAAAATAGCTTGGTAGGCGAGGCTGCTCAGTTGATATCTAGTTTTTAAATCACTGAGGAAAACTTTATTCCAGCTTGGGAAAAACTAGTAGCTAGATTTGAAAACAAACGGGTCTTGATTAACAAACATCTAGATGACATTTTCAATATCCAACCTTTAAAACAAAAATCTGCCAAAGGTCTTAATCATCTGATCTTAACTGTAAATGAGAGTTTGGGCTCACTTAAATCTCTTGGCTCGCCGATCGATCAATGGGATCACATCTTAGTATATCTGACTGTTCATCGTCTAGATCCTGATACACACGAGGCATGGGAGCTTCACCAACGCATCTCGACAGAACCATCATCGCTGCAAGACCTACAGACCTTCATCGAAGGACGTGTACGGGCTTTGGAAAATATTGAAGCCAGGGAATAATCTCACTCGAGTGGAATGGTAAATCTACCAAAACATCAAGGTAATCCTCAGCATTATCTAAACATCAACACAGCTTTGGTAGCTGAATCAAAACGAAAATATAAACTGTGTAAACTGTGTAGTAATGCTCATTACATAGCATATTGCAAAGAGTTCCATGCTAAAACACCATATCAAAGGAAAGACTTCTTATCAAGTAACAGGTTGTGTTTCAACTGTCTTGGCCCTCATTTGCTCAAAGAATGCCGATCTCAAAAATCATGTGTGAAATGTTGTAATCGCCACCATACATTGATTCATGACACTGTCAGTAGACCTTTTGATACATCTAGTCAAATAAAATCCACTTATCAAACCCCAAATCCACCACATTCGGAAAGAAAATCATCAAACACACCACAAGTGTCCTCAAATCACTCTCTTCCCACTGGAAATCGACACACAGTTCTTTTAGCTACTGCTCAAGTTAAAGTAATCAGCCCGAAAGGTAACAACATTGTATGTAGAGCTCTAATAGACCAAGGCTCCGAAATTTCCTTTATCAGCAAGCATCTAGTGCAGACTCTTCATATTAAACGCTCCTCATCCAAAACATCATTGTATCATTGCCTACTGGAGAATAAAGTAGATGATTTACTTCAGAAGTTTTGGGAACAGGAGGATTTTGCCAAAGATCCAGTTCAGGTTTTATCTCCTGAAAATCAAACGTGTGAAGAACACTTTCAATCAACGCACTCTAGGACTGAAACTGGAAGGTATGTTGTTAAACTTCCTCTAAAAGAGTCTGCTGAAAATCTAGGGAATTCTCGAACATCTGCTCTCAATGTATTGAGCTCAATGAAAAAACGTTTTGTTACTGATCCTAACTATCACAAACTGTATTCTAACATATGTCAAAAGTAGGAAGTGATTCTGTAGTAAATACTCCAACATTTTACTTACCTCATTATGGCGTCCTTCGGGATACCAGTTCAACCACAAAACTAAGGGTGGTTTTCAATGGATCACAGCGTTCTTCTACGGGTAAATCTCTAAATGATATTCTTCATACTGGAGAAAAGTTGCAAACTAATTTATCTGATGTCTTAATTTGGTTCAGACAATTCAAGTACGTCTTCTCTGCAGACATTGAAAAAATGTATCGGCAGATTATGGTTCATCCAGATGACTGGGACTTACAAAGAATCTTATGGTACGACAATGAACAACTTTGTACATATCAGTTGAAAACCGTAACTTATGGTTTATCATGTGCTCCCTTTCTAGCATTGAGAACAATGAATCAACTTGTAATCGACCATGGGAATCAATATCCTTTAGGGGCATCTGTTCTTTCAAAAGGAAGATATGTTGATGACATATTTGGGGGTGCTGACACTATTGACGAGTGTCAAGAGGTCATAACACAAGTCGATAAACTTTGCATGGAAGGATGTTTTCCATTACAAAAGTGGATAAGAAACAACCTTTCAACACTAACTTCAATATCTCCCTAACGGTATGTAAAAGAAGCTTCAATTTCAATCAAAGAATCAACAGCTGTAAGAACCCTAGGATTAACTTGGAAACCAGCAAGTGACAATTTTCAGTTCCAGATTGATTTCCAAACTCCAGTTCCGATAACTAAGCGAAGTGTTCTATCTCATATTGCAAAACTATTTGATCCCTTAGGATTTATCGCTCCTGTAATAATTCAAGCTAAAATATTTTTGCAGCAACTATGGTTGATTAAGTTAAACTGGGATGATTTTCTTCCTCCCTACCTGTTGGCACACTGGAAAAATCTTGAAGCTCAACTAAAAGACTTGTCTATTATATCAATTCCAAGATTTTTAGGTCTCACCAAATCATCTTCCTGCTGTGTGGAACTTCACGGGTTTTCAGATGCATCCCAGTCTGCAATGGCTGCTGTTGTGTATATTAAAGTAAGGTCTGAGTCAGGTATTTTTGTAAACATTGTTTGTGCTAAAACCAGAGTTGCATCTCTTAAGAAAATGAGTATCCCCAGACTAGAGCTTACAGCAGCATTAATGTTGGTGCGTCTTGCAAAATATGTCAGAGATATTCTAGATATCAAATCTGCTCCATTGTGGTTGTGGACAGATTCTCGTGTAACTCTTACTTGGATTCAGAACCACCCATCCAAGTGGAAAGACTTTGTTTGTAATCGAGTTAGCATTATACAGGAAACAGAGCCATTAGCTCGTTGGAGGTATGTTCCTGGCAAAGAGAATCCAGCCGATTGCGCTTCACGTGGGTTATCTCCTAAAGCTCTCGTGGACCACAAGTTGTGGTGGTCAGGACCCTCGTGGCTCGCGGAAGATTCTGTAAATTGGCCCATGAGTTCCGACGAACTTGCAGAGGAAGCCGTGTCTGAGCAGCGCAGTCAGAAATCAACGTATTTATCCCAATCTAAATCAGAACCTGACTTACTTTCTCGCTACTCTGATCTCAATAAGCTACTTCGGATCACTGCATGGTGTCGAAGATTTATCAATCGTCTCAAGAAAATTGACAGTATAGAACACACTCCCTATCTGACACCCAAAGAATTAAATGATTCTTTACTACTTTGGACAGGTATTGTTCAGCTAGAAGCCTTCAATGAAGATCTAAAACAACTCACTAATCAGAAACCAATCAATAAGTTGAGTAAACTCCGCAATTTCACTCCGTTTCTTGATCAAAATAAACTTATCAGAGTTGGAGGTAAACTCAACCAATCCACTCTTGAGTATGACTCAAAACACCCACTTCTCCTCCCAAAAGATTCTAATCTTTCAAAATTAATAATATCTGATTCCCACCTTCGTACACTACACGGTAGTACAAGCATTACATTATCAACCATTAGACAACGTTTTTGGATTCTCGGTGGTCGCCCAGCTATTAAGAAAGAACTACTACGGTGTGTCACTTGTGCTCGATACAGAGCTGAACGAGCTCAGCAACTTATGGGACAGCTTCCTACATCTCGAGTCACCCCTTCACGACCATTTCTCCACTCTGGTGTGGACTACGCAGGTCCATTCGTTATCAAGACTTGGCGAGGTAAAGCAGCAAAAACATACAAGGGATATATTGTAGTATTCATCTGCTCGTCAACATCTGCACTCCACCGATTACTCTGCAGAAGCATTCATTGCAGCATATAAGAGATTCACAGCTCGCCGTGGAATTTCTTCCACTCTGTCCAGTGATTGTGGTACTACATTTATCGGTGCTGATGCAGAACTAAAACGTCTATTCACGGCTTCAACAACGACAAGTACCAAACTAAGAGATCTTCTAACTAAAGATGGAACATTGTGGAAATTTAACCCTCCATCTGCTCCTCACTTCGGTGGTCACTGGGAAGCAGGAGTTAAGTCAGTGAAATATCACCTAAAACGAACTGTTGGTAATACTCAACTAACATACGAAGAATTCACTACCATTCTCACACAAATCGAAGCGGTTTTGAATTCGAGACCTCTCTGCAAATTGACTGATGATCCTGATGACCTATCTACATTGACTCCTGCACATTTTCTTGTTGGTTCATCACTATCTACAATACCAGAACCAGACCTCAAGGAAGTACCAACAAATAGACTTTCAAGATGGCAGTTGTTGCAGCAAATGTTACAAAGTTTCTGGAAAAGATGGTCAAGGGAATATCTTCAGCAATTGCAGACAATTTATAAATGGAGATTTCCAAACACACAACTTAAAGTAGGATCAGTAGTCCTTATTATTGACGAACAATATCCTCCATCAAAATGGCCTTTAGCAAAAGTCATAGAAGTTCATCCTGGGCTTGACAATCTCATTCGCGTGGTAACACTGAAGACAGCTACTGGAATACTCAAAAGACCAATAGCAAAATTGTGCTCTCTTCCTGTCACAGAATAAATTGCCCAGTTCCCTGTTGCAATTGGGGGGGAGTATGTTAGAAGTACTCTATGTATACTATCAACTGCCTGCCATTTGAAGATAAAATCATATGTTATTAATTGTTATGATCTATTTACTTTTTATCAGTTTTGTTCTCATCCATGTTAATAAACCATCAATTGTTTTTCATCTCTTTTATTTTGTAAAAACTAATCACTCATACTATCTATCATTAACACCGAGAAAGAAGAAACATTTTAAAGCCATTAAAGTATTATTCTCTTCTTCAGGTAAGTTGCACTAAACTAAAAGGCAATTGCTGTGTTAGTGTTGACATTTTAGCTTTAATACTGAAACATTTCGTTTTGCTAACTACTAAGTAGTAAATGCATCACCGGTCTTCCTGTTAATGACGCAGCATTTTTCTCCATGTAGTTCCAATTTACAACTGTAAGAGCTCCACATTCTGTTACTGTTAGTTTTTTCATCACCGTTTCAACAGCATAGTTTTAAAACCGCTTAAAGCCATAAAGTAACAATGCTGTATAAATTTGAAATAAAAACTCCACCAATATTTTCAGAATTTTTAATTTTATGAGGCCTTTCGCCAGCTATGCTGCATTATTAGCATCATTAGACGCATCATTAGACTGCTAATAATTAGCTGTAATAATGGCAACTGCATCATTAGACGCATCACAAAACTGAATTTTATGTTTATGTTTAAAAATACAATAATAAATTAATTTTAAAGAATATAACGTATGGGTAGTTAAAAATAAAAATTGTTCTGTACATTTAGCTAAAATAACAATAATTAGTTATATATGTATAAATATGAAATATAAAGTAAAATTAACTTATAACTTCGTAAATTTTAATATTTAGTTATGTTAAATAATGAATCGGACCATTATCAATATTTTCCAAATAGCCCATTTTATTTATAAATAATGACTCCCATGCATTTAGTTTATTGGATTTCGTTATATTTTTTAGTAATTTAGTATTTTTGATTGAAATTGTGTGGTCCATTTCTAAACAATGTTTTGCTATTGCTGATTTTTCAGGTCTGTTGTGTGTTATGTGAGAAGTTTGTTCTTTGAAAAATTGTTCTTGAACAACATACATCAAAAATCAGGAATAGCAAAATATAATTGTTAAAATATAGCAAACGACCGTGAGAAACGCCTTGTTGGGACCAGATTTGCACTAATATTATCCTATCTTGAGTGTAATGTAATAGTAAATTAAATGATAGAATGTAAAAATCTGTTATTTTAACAATATTTATCACGAGAACTGTGAAAAAATACAAATTGGTACAACTGAGCTAGCCAGTGGGCTTTGAATATTCATCACTACACCGACTGCAACTGTGACGATATATCGCATTACTAGGACTAACTGAGTTTGATCATGAATTTAGGCTGTAGTTATCCAACAGCACAATCAAATTTTACATCATACAAACATATAGCGTATTTACAGAAATCGGTCTAAAGATATACGTCAATTGTGTAAAGCAAGTAAAAACCTAATTGATAACATATTCATCGTTAAGTATTTTTACAAGATATTTAGGTTAGTATTGTTGTTAGTCAACAAACAGATTACATATTGTATCATGTATTCACACTAATAATACTGTCAAAAATTAAATATGATATAATTTGAACTTAAATTAAACAACGAACAAATTCATGTAGATAGTTTCCTTGAATGTGCGTTTTTAAGGGAGTGAAAAAGATTCACTCTTTGACGTACAATACTTTTATGTACAAAAATAGATTTTCCTACCAACTCTCATTAATTAAGCAGTAGCCAACAAGAACAGACGCTGAACATTTATAAAGAACTTTATGAAAAATAATCATTCATACGCGTGTGTATTGTGTTTACCCTACGTAAAGAGGTTTCAAACAGAACAACTTCGTAAGTACCTGAAGCTGAAGATGATGTTCTCCCATCTAAACATAGCCTAAACAAACATATATTTATTGACCTGTCGGACGATAGTTGGGTAATTGATTTACATTAGACACTTGTCGTTACCTTGGTTGACGGAAATCGCGCCGTTTTGAATAGTTATCAAATGTAACCAATTAGGCTTATCAATAATCGTCTTTAGATACTGCATGCAAATACATATTCCAGTTGTGTGATCCAGATTAACATTGACTTTGGATACTCCATGTAGACATTCTATTAACGTGAACTAGGCGTACTATTGACTTTGGATGCTGGAAATAGATATACCATAAGTGAAATAAATCGACTTTCGACTTTAAATACAAGCCTTAGTCACCAACAAGACTACAAGACCGCGTCGCTAAATTATTAAAAAGTACCTGGGGACCGAGCTTTGCTCGGGGAAAATTATTAGTTTACTCTGAAAAGTATTGCATTTACATAAATCCACTCCCAATCTCCACACTGCTCACCTTCACTACTTACTTCACCACTCCCTACGTCGTGGACCTGTTTGCCCTCCTTCCCTATACCATTTTAGAATTGCAGATACATAAATGTCACAGACAGTTCCCACACTCTGCACTGCTAGCATTACTGATTCCTACACCATTTCCTACGTCATGGACCTGTTTTCCTCCCTTCTTGTAGCATTTTAGGATTGTAGATACCTTAATGTAATTCCCATAAACAGTTCCCAGACTCCAGACTGCTCACCTTTACTACTTCCTTCACCACTTCCTACGTCGCGGACCTGTTTCTCTCCCTTCCAATGGTATTTTAGGATTGCAGATACCTTAATCTAATCGTCATAAACATTTCCCACACTCCGGACTGCTCACCTTTACTACTTCCTTCACCACTTCTTACGTCGCGGACCTGATTCCCTCCCTTCCCATAGCATTTTAGGATTGTAGATAACTTGATCTAACCGTTATTAACAGTTCCCACACTCCGGACTGCTCACCTTTACTACTTCCTTCACCACTTCCTACGTCGTGAACCTGTTTCCCTCCCTTCCCATAGCATTTTAGGATTGCAGATTCCTTAATCTAATCGTCATAAACAGTTTTCACACTCCAGACTGCTCGCCTTTACTACTTCCTTCATCACTTCCTACGTCGTGGACCTGTTTGCCCTCCTTCACTATACCATTTTAGAATTGCAGATACATAAATGCCACAGACAGTTCCCACACTCTGCACTGATAGCATTACTACATCCTACACAATTTCCTACGTCATGGACCTGTTTTCCTCCCTTCTCGTAGCATTTTAGGATTGTAGATACCTTAATGTAATTCCCATAAACAGTTCCCAGACTCCAGACTGCTCACCTTTACTACTTCCTTCACCACTTCATACGTCGCGGACCTGTTTCTCTCCCTTCCAATGGCATTTTAGGATTGCAGATACCTTAATCTAATCGTCATAAACATTTCCCACACTCCGGACTGCTCACCTTTACTACTACCTTCACCACTTCTTACGTCGCGGACCTGATTCCCTCCCTTCCCATAGCATTTTAGGATTGTAGATAACTTGATCTAATCGTTATTAACAGTTCCCACACTCCGGACTGCTCACCTTCACTACTTCCTTCACCACTTCCTACGTCGTGAACCTGTTTCCCTCCCTTCCCATAGCATTTTAGGATTGCAGATTCCTTAATCTAATCGTCATAAACAGTTTTCACACTCCAGACTGCTCGCCTTTACTACTTCCTTCATCACTTCCTACGTCGTGGACCTGTTTGCCCTCCTTCACTATACCATTTTAGAATTGCAGATACATAAATGCCACAGACAGTTCCCACACTCTGCACTGATAGCATTACTACATCCTACACAATTTCCTACGTCATGGACCTGTTTTCCTCCCTTCTCGTAGCATTTTAGGATTGTAGATACCTTAATGTAATTCCCATAAACAGTTCCCAGACTCCAGACTGCTCACCTTTACTACTTCCTTCACCACTTCCTACGTCGCGGACCTTTTTCCCTCCATTCCCATAACATTTTAGGATTCCAGATTCCTTAATCTAATCGTCATAAATAGTTTTCACACTCCAGACTGCTCGCCTTTACTACTTCCTTCACCACTTCCTACGTCGCGGACCTGTTTCCCTCCATTCCCATAGCACTTTAGGATTGCAGATTCCTTAATCTAATCGTCATAAACAGTTTTCACACTCCAGACTGCTCGCCTTTACTACTTCCTTCATCACTTCCTACGTCGCGGACCTGTTTCCCTCCATTCCCAAAGCACTTTAGGATTGCAGATTCATTAATCTAATTGTCATAAACAGTTTTCACACTTTAGACTGCTCGCCTTTACTACTTCCTTCATCACTTCCTACGTCGCGGACCTGATAAGAGCTGATAAGAGTTGAGAGTGCATGTACTGTAAACTGAGTTGAAATATGTTGAGAATGCATCAGCTATTGCTGCTCCCCCCTCCACCTCTTTACCTTCAAATATCATAGTTGCTGGTTTTACATTAGTACCCTTCAAATCTTTTATAACAGACCAAAAGGATTTAGGATTTCTATTTAACTCCATTTCAGCAGTGTGTAAATATGCCTTATAATCAAATGTTATTTGTTTTTTTACCTCCTTTCTTATTCTCTTAAAATCGTCCAACAAGTGAGGCATATTATAAGTTATTAATTGTTTCCTAATCTTAACTTTTTTCTTTATTAATTTTTTTAACTTATCTGAATACCATGCAGGATATTTTAAATTAGAACTTTTCTTTTTTGGAACACACAAATCTAGAATTGAATAAAATTTCTCATAAAATAATCTAACAGCCTCATCAGTATTTTTCTCCATAAATAATAAACTCCAATCAGTATCCTTCAAAAGATTATACAAGGAAATAAAATCAGCTCTAGAAAAATTATAACTAGCCTCACTTGAGTTCTTCTCCAAGGGGACAATTTTTTCATTAATGTTGAAAGAAGCAATTAATGCTGGATGATAATTATCTATATTTACTAATGGAACTTCTTCTTGCTTGACTAACAATTTATCTATATCAGATAACAACAAATCCAACGTGCGACCTTGGAGGTTCAATATGTTATTCAATGATTTTAATGAATACATTCTCATGAAAAATAGCAACTGCTTACAAATTCTATTCTCTCTAGACAAATCACACTGAGTTCCAGTAATTGGCAAATTAAAGTCACCCAACACAATTAAACGTTCATTTCTTAATTTATAGAGATCAAGCTTATCAAAGAAATTTTTGTATGTTTCAAAATTAGAACTTGGAGCAAAATATACAAGTGATAATAAAATAGAGTAATTATTAGTTAGTTATACTTTAATCCAAATATTTTCACTATCAGTTTCTAACTCAAATAATCTTTTAGCTACAAAACTACTTTTGACACCAACTATGACTCCCCCCCCCTCTATCCATTCCAGTTATATTTGCATCCCTATCCCTTCTAAAAACTGTGTATTCCTTACTAAATATTTCTGAATTATGAATAGAAGAATTTAACCATGTTTCACTTAACGCAACAATATCATAATCATTACTTAATAAGCCTAATCGTAAATCATTTGTTTTAGTCCTCAGACCACGTACATTCTGATAGTATATATTGATCCTACTCATTGAATAAATAATTTAATAACATAAATATTTAAATAGAATATATATAAATAAAAATCAACAGAAATAAATACTATCCTAAATGAATTAACATGCATCACAGCCTAGGCCTATTAATAAACACATGCAATATACAAATAAATAAATACTAAAATATCTAATAAATATTTCATTTGTGTGCGAAAAGAGTAATTATGACTCACATAAGGTTCTGGCAGATCACTTGAGCTTGTCCAAGTCACTTTTCCCGCAGATGTGAATGGGACGAGATCCATCAGTCTTCCGCAGAAACACCTTACCGGCACTGGTAATCCATGCATACTTGTAACCATTATCTTTCTTAAAGGCGCGAACTTCTCCCCACAGGTACTTGGTGAATGGCGACAAGGACAGATTAATGAAAATCTTGCTCTCGCTGATCATGCCTAACTCCGCCGCTGAGAACCCATTCTTCACCCTCGTTTTGCTTCGTAAGGACTCCATGTCAATGCGACGACAGAACTTGATGATTATCCCACGGTGCGCCTCAGGTTTTTTCGGGTTCATGGCCAAACGATGCACAGCATCAATCATTCCATCCTTTAGCTCAAAGTTCATCACCTTCGCCACTCGCTTGACCACCTCCATCACATCTTCATTCTTCACCTCAGGTACTCCGTAAATCTCTAAACAATTACTGCGAGAGTATTGATTACTCACAGCAACAGTTTGTTGTAGTTCAGCCAACTGCTTCTTCACTATCTCCAATTCACTAGACATTGCATCTGTACGTGTCTCATGTAGCAATAGGGTTTCTTTGTTAACCTTAACTTCCTTGTTAGTGTCTTCCAGTTTCAAAAAACACATATCGACAGTTTCACCTATATCTTTCTGAAACTGTTCTATTTTGCATTTCATCTCAGATATATCAGAACTAAACTGAGTGTTGTGATTCTTAATGTCAGATACTTCCTTAAGAATTAAATCAAGCTTCTGATCAGTTGTCAAACTCATGTTGTCTGCTGCGTCGTCTGCTGTAGGTGTAGATGTACTGGCACTACGGGTGATGACAGGAATGAGTCACAGGGACAGCTGTCCAGTCACGTGACTCCGACCGGCTCCTAACCAATGTTATAACCTGTACTATTCACTTGGATTTAACAGTATTGAAAATCACAAATGCCGGGCATAAAATAACTAGTTGTAGCAAATCACTTATCACAAACGTTCAATAACAGTCCATAACTACTTCATGCAGCTTCAGAAATATAACAAAAAGCCCGTTTACACAATTAAAATTGAAGAGCCGATCTAACACACGTTCACTCCGTTTGCATGCTTCCCCCTCTCTTATGTCTTTCCTATGTCTTCTCTTATGTCTCTCTTATGTCTTTCCTCCCTACCATTACATTTTAGGATTGCAGATACCTTAATTTAATCGTCATAAACAGTTCCCACACTCCAGACTGCTCGCATTTACTACTTCCTTCACCACTTCCTATGTCGTGGACCTGTTTTCCTCCCTTTCCATAGCATTTAAGGATTGCAGATACCGTAATCTAATCGTCATAAACAGATCCCACACTCCACACTGCTACCCTTGACTATAGAATCTAGTAAT